GCCTCGGGCATGGTTGTATTGTGTTTCGTCCTTTCACCCCCTATCATCATCATCATCATCATCATCCTGTCAACCCACAGTTACCATACCGTTACAATCAATAGTGGTCGCTAATGACCTAGTAGTTGATGCAACTTTAAAAAAAATAAAAAAATATAAAAAAAGAAATGTGTAAGAAGTCAATAATCTTAAAATCGCCAAATTTCAGAAGTCATCCCTTACACTCGAAAGCCTCAATTTGAACAAATTGCAAGAGAGGTTTTACATTTATATTTTATTTTTTTAAATTTACTATGTCGAGTTTATAATACTTGAGTTAGAAACACGCAGAGCAATAATATCGGCAGCTCCAGATGTCTCTCGTCAACCTCGGCGTCCCCGAAGCAGAACGCCGACGGCGTCCGTCTTCTGCGACCGCATTTGACGTCACAGAGGCACGCCACGCCACGCCGCGCCGCGCCGCGCCACGCCGCGCCACGCCACGCCATCGCGTCGTTCGGTGCCCCGATGGGAAATAACTCCACTACAAAAGGACCGCGCATAAAACAAAGCCCCCTACTCCAGATCCGCGCGGCAGTTTAACTCTTTATGAGCGTAACAAAGTTACTTTGTAATGAATGAACGAGATCGCATGGACTAGACACACGGCCGCCGTCTCGAGCTCGTTCACAATAAAGTAGTTACACTGAAGAGGGGCCGGTGCGGGCGCGACAGTCCGCCATTGGTTAATGACGACGCGCTTTGTTCGAAGGCAACAAAGCAGAAAATCGGGAAGGTATTGACGCTAAGAGCGGCAAACAGCGCTCCAGGCCACAATAAGCAATCGAAATGTTTCGGTTCGCGAAGGGCCCCGCCCTCGAGCCGGCGACGCGACGGCGTCCTCGGGGGCCCGCACTGCTCCAATAAAGCGTGGAGTGGCCGACGCGGTGGTCGCCCGTTGTAGGCCGCGCGACGCGACGCCACGGGCACCGAGTGCTCGTGCTTCAAGGGGTGGTGTGGCGCGACTGTGAGGAGGTAGCAGCGCGGAAAATGTGCGCTTTGTTCTCTTGAAACCGCAACCTGGCTGGGTGGGGGGTGGGGAAACGGGGCGAGCCGCCCGCGGGGATGAGGGTGGATGAGGAGGAAGACGATGCGGGAGGTTTGGGGCGAAGGGGCTGAGGTTTCCCGCGGGATCGTTGCTAGGATCCTGAACTAGAGGCCTCTTCTGAGGTAAGTGGACGGAGCGGGTGGGAATGACGTTTAGCTTGTTGAAGTTGTTTGGGGGAAGAAGTGTTTTGTAAGGATTTTTTAGTTAATGTGTCGAGTTTACACCCTCTTCGTGTGACTGTTTTTTTCCGTTGAACTTATCTGAATTTTGTCACTAATGTCACTATATATCTGTGAGATGGAAAATTCAGGCAATACTACTTTAACACGCCCGTTTATTAAAAAAGAATAAAAACTTTAAAAAGGGGCAATTCCGGGGGACTCCCTTCACCTGATAGTGACTCTCTTCACCAGCAATATCAAGTCTCCTACCCTGTTCACTCTTTACTGGCTCTTTATCATCTGGCTTTTGTTAGTTGTGTTTCATTATGGGCAATGAATATTGAATAATTTGTAAATCCTCATTATATCGAATTTACTATATCGATAATATTTCACTTCCATTTGCATTGCCAAAATAATTTATGAACCATTCCTTCATCCTTTCTTGCCCGAAACAGTCTATCGACAACTCCTGTGCTTCTCAAAAACTATTATCTTTACTTCTATTAAGTTCAGGTGTGTTGTATTATTTTTCCTATCTCGGCCCAAAAAAGACAATGACAATTATCCAAAAAGAAGTTTCTGTGATTACAAATGGTCGTTCAGAAGAACATAACTCATTTTCAGTTCTTACTTCATTACGCATTCTTCACAAAAATCTGAACAAGAAAGACACACAAAGCTATGGTATTGATTACATAAAAAAGTTAATAAGGTTCCTTTCGAAAGAAACTTGCAGATTAATTAATGTTCAATATCTTTAATTTATTTCTAGTCGCATTCTTTTCATAGCTATCTGATACTTGCTGCGTAACATCCTGCCTGGATGCGCTGGGGTTTGGAATCAGCATCCAAGTACGCGGAGCAGAAGGCACGGGTGTTTTTACCAAGTGGTTGTGACGTTGTAGGTTTCTCCTACCGTCGCATATTCAATCTGAACATCATCACGTCAGTAAACATTAATCTATCGTCATTCTATAGTTATGATTAGAG